TTGTATACAAGTTTATGTCAGTAAAAATGCAAATATAACACTGTCTAACTTGCCTGGGACACAGAGCTCTTTGAATGTAAATTTCCTATCTTTGATTTGCTTTCTTGTTCAGGTAGCTTACTTTCATCTGACATCCAACTCCTCTCTCTACAATGTAAGAGGACTATATAATGCTAATGTGGAAGGCACTGCCTTTGCTATTCAAAGCACTTCTGAAATTGCTACATTTTTTCTTAATTCTGTACCTTATCTATAAAGTAAGGCTTCTCACATGATGTGTGACTCCTATTGTTTGTTTTCCCAGAGCATTAGCAAAAAGAATGTGACAGATTCATTTGAGAAAGGGATTTTTCAGGCTTCACAATAAACTTACCCATCCATTTAATTTTAAGGATATCCCAATATACCTCTTAGGAGGTTAATTCAGAACTGAGATATCTGAATACACAAGTTGAAGTGTTCTTCCATATGAATAAAAAATACAAATTACTTTTTAATTACATTTTAAGTATTGTGTCTGCATCATGCTAGTTCAAGAGTCTGAGTAAACACATACATAAAAAGGCCAGCAAAAACTCTGAAATATTTTTTGCACTCATTAAAAAAAATAAAAATCTAGAGACCCATGCCTTCAATATAATTCATTACAGCAACAACAGTTACCTAAGTTGAAGCTTGTTTTCTCATAATGCTGCCAAACTGCAAGTGGTATTTTTGAAAAGCATTGTTTGCACCCAAGAGTAAAATAAATAGACTTCTCACAAAAAGGAGAAAAAGAATGGAATGTTAAGACTTATTTACCTGAATATACCTCAAAAATTTTTAATTGTCAAAATTGCAGTGTTGTTTTAAAAGGCTTTAATATACCAGATTTTCAAGAAAATAGCTTGAAAATGTTCCTAATTAACACATCTATGTGCTCAGCTATTAGAATTCCTACAGAGACCAAGTAGTAAGTCAAAAAGGAATTTGGATTAAACTGCATATATTGGGATCTTAGATTTATACTTTTTAAATTAGAAATGCCAAAAGAAATCTAAGTCTAAGCAAGCTAAAATGAAACATTTACCTTCTCCAATTTTTTCCTTAATTTTGAACACATTTACAAGCTGTGGCACCGCTTCATAAAGTTTTTCAATATCTTTTTTTATTCCTGTGGTGGAAAGAACGGGGGAAAAAAGTTAGGAACTTTATTACTTGATTCAATATCTGATGTATATTTGAGATCACAAATTATACTTCAATTCACAGGACTATGAATTCACATATACAGAGTTAAAAACAGCACAAAGGTATCTTATCCCTGCTGACATTACCATCTGCATACTTGATATTGTTATTCAACCCACTCCCTTATAAGCTGCAGCATTTAAAAAATTATTTTTTACTCATTTGATACCCAGGAGATCCTGAGAGGGCAAAAGCCTTCTGATTAGTACAACATCTACAGCTCATTGCCAAATGTTTACATGAGATTTGCAATATCAATTTCAGGACAAAACTGTAATAGTTGTTTCTGTAAGCACAGGTGCATATCCATCAGATCCATATCAAAAATGCAGAAGAGGAATTATTTTTTATATACTTTTAAGATCAATAATGCAATCTTTCACACTTCCTTAAAATAGTAAACATCAAAACCCACATTTGGTCTGCATTTAAGTTGCTGCACTTTGTGCTGCAATCACTAGATGGCACGACAAGGATGCTATACTGTATTATTTTAAAAAAATCATGTAGTCTTCCATTCAGTTTACTAATTCTTGTATTTTAAGTGTTTTCTATACCCTGCATAAGAATTCACTCTTTTGAAGCTATCAAGTATGTAGAGGCTGTGACTAATTTCTCTGAAGCAGGGGTAAGGAATATTTTATTATATAGAACCAAGCACAAACTGGCATTTGAAAAGTCAATCAAATAGAAAAATAAGTGTACATTTTTCATTCTAAAAATAAATAATGAATTAATGACAGTTTTTGGGTTGTTCTGTGCCCCCAGTCTAACAGTCCTAAGGTATATACTAAGAATCATGGAAAGCTCCCTCAACAACTTCTATAGAATCTGCCAAATACTCCATTTTGTCTGACATTGAATTCAGATTCCACCCTGAACAGAGTTCAGTGCTGTCAGAGCACTTCCAGCGAGGTAACAGGCTGCAGTGCCTACCCAAGGCACTGGAAGCATTTAGGAAATCAACACAGCTGCCTGCGTGAAAGATCCTGAGAAGTGCTAGAAAAAGTCAGTGACTGCCCTTGTTGATAGATAGCAGTATGAACATCACCTAGTCTCTTCTCAGGGCCCGAATACCCAGTTGGGTATAGAGAACATACAGTCATTGTACCATCAGTGTATAATAATAGTAACATCCAACATTTTCTGTGAGCAGATTTTAAAGTAATTTCCGTATTTGCCAAGCAAGACAAACACTATTCAGCATCACTCGATGTAATTCTGAACACGGATGTGCAGGAGACTGACAGAGACTATCCATTTTAGAAAAATCAGTAGCCATCATATATATAAACTGGCTGATCATCTGGGATTACTGAGCAAGCATTGTACATAAAGTCCAGACCCACGTAAATACACATCATCATCATGGCTAGGCTTCGCGAACGAAGATTTGGTAAATACACAAAGAGACCAAAAAATGAACAGCAAAACCACTATCAGAACATGTTCTTAGTTCAGCTTCTACAAAGAAGAAGGAGTGTTTTTATGCACATAATCACATCTAAAGATATTGAAGGATAAGGCCAGCAATTATAGGTTAAAAGGCAAAGTACTGAGTTTGTGTACTTGTTTGGTCAGAGAATTTTATTCTCCAGGGCTAGCTTTTTTGAATTCTAGTATCCTCTTATAATAACATATTCTATAATAAATAAATAGTAAGTTTAGCAAATTGTGACAAATTATAACACACAAAAAGCAGGAATAAACTTAAAATCAAAAGCCACCTCAAATCTTTTCATTTCATTAATTCTTTATACACCAGGACCATATACAGACAGGCTTATAATCTATATTGAAACTTCCTGAAGTGATGAAGCAGCATGCCAGCAACAAAACATAATGTTAACAATTCCTATTTCAGCATATACCTGAAAGCTTGCTGTTCTGCTCAAGCTTCCTGTGGAAGTCTTCAGCCTGATGAGGGTGCTGTTCATCACGGTGAGACTCCAACATCGTCTCCATCATAAAACAAATCTCAAGTAAAAAATCCAAGACTTCGAGGGCCACTTCTGGACACCTGGGGGAGCAAGCATATCTGGTAAGACACTTCCCGGCCCTGCACTCAGTCCTTAAGATGAGATTCAGGGAGCCTGAGGAGTTCCTCTGTGTTACCCAAACCAACAAAGTGTCACCCATCATCCCAGAGAAATACCAAACCACCCTATCTCTAGTAAAAGGGAAGAGGGGTGAAAGGAAGAAAGACTAAAGGATAAGATTAGATAATGATTTTCTTTCATCTTTCACATTTCCTCATTCATATTAAAGCATTGTCTTTTCCCTGAAGTTTGCTTTGAAAGGCAAGGAACTGATGCACACAGAAATAGCTGCATTGCACACTGCAACAGCTGTAGAAAGACAGAAAACCTGAAAGAAATTATAAGAGAAAAAAATATCTTCTCAATACAAGAGATTTCTCTCCCTCCTAGACAATCTCAACAGAAGGCATAATTATTTGTTGTCCTCCCACCATAACAAGAAAAAATAGCATAGGCTTATTTTGAAGTGCTTCTTCCCAAATATTGGGAATACTACATAAAACTGCAAATTAGTACATTTACAGTTAATACTGTACAATCAAAAAAACCCTGATAATTCTATTTCATGAGTGAAAGAGTGGCAGGGAGCCCCGGGGCAGAATAACAGGTGATAAGTGAGCCTGGAAGCACCAACTCTGACAGTTCCCCATACTAGTTCCATTCAAAAATCTTCCTTGCTTGTTACTTTGTCAAACCTTCAAAGTTCTGGATGAACTTTTCTACACAGGGGAAACATATTCTGGAAAACTCCCAATGAAAGGATTCATCTCTTTCAGCTATGAGCTGGAAATACATTTTGTCCCCAAAGAATTCGAGCTACCTTTAGTCTGTCATCCATGTGTAACAGAACAGGGACAAGCAACAGCCTCCTCTTTTGACAGAGCTTTGCTGGAGAGTGGGACTTGGAAACTACTGGAATGAGATTAGAGAGGTTTCTAGTCTCTTAGAGACAGACACTCCCTCTGCCAGTGTTGAGCAGACAGATGAGCCTGTTCCAAACCTGTAACAGCAGGGCCTCACCGGCAGCACGAAGAGTGCAAGTTAATACGGATATTGATACAGTAAATCCGTCTGTTCCAAGACAGGCAACAGCCGTCCCGCCTCCAGCACTTCCGTTCGCACCGGTGGTGTCACCGCTGCCAGACCAAGGGGAGTACCCGGGGCTCGTCACCGGCTCTGCGGCACAGCCCCTGACGGCGAGGCCGCGGCCCGAGCGCCCGTCCCAGGGTTCGCCACCGGTCGCGGGACTCACGGGCGGCCGCAGCGGGGAGAACACGGGACTGCGGGGTCACCGCTCAGCACCGCAGGGGAACGGCCTCCGCGGGGACCGGCCGGCAGCAGAGGGGTGGGGACGCGCGGAGCGGGTCTCCCACAGGCGGAGAGGCCGCGTCAGGGCGGGTCGTGGAGGGCCCCGTCCCGGCGGAGGGGCCGCGCCAGCCCCGGGTCCGCCATGGCCGGGGCTGCGGGGGGAAGGGGGTGGGGGGGTGGGGCGGGCGGGCGGGGGTCGCGCGGGGCGGGAGGGGCTCGCGCGGTGGCGGACACTCACGCGGACACTGGCGCGCGCCGCGCCGGCGTTTTGCTGCTGCCGCCCTTTCGCCGCGCGCGCGCTGCCGCCAATCCCGGCCCTCGACGGAAGCCGCGGCCCCGGCCAATGGCGGCGCCACGCGGGGAAAGACGTGCTACGATTGGCCAGGCATCGGGGAAGGGCCCGCCCACAGCGGCGTGGCGGGTTCGAAGGGGGGCGGGGCCCGCGAGTCACCGGTGCCGCCCCCGGGCCCGGCGCCGTCGGGGCGGGCTGCCTTAGTGGTGTTCGTGCCCCCTGCAACAGTCTTCGGCCCTTAGATTTGCTTTTTTTGCTTGTGGTTATTGCGAAATAATTACTGTCTCCAATAAGATCTTGTCCTCATTAGCTCCGCTGTGAGTTCAGTCAAATAGCCCAGAGGCCGTGGAGCGGCCTCGCTCACACCGTAATAACGGGGGAACAGCTTGGCTTGCAGCTTTGCCTTATTACCTGATTACGCAAGAAGAAGGATCGCACTGAACACAAATTGAATTTGCATCTTGGCTCTGGTCTGCGCCGTAACCACTGCCCAGCAATGAGCAGGAGTAGGAAATTTAGTGGAATAATGTTTTGCTGATATTTGAAGCAGTTGGATTTTACCAAAACCAATGCAGTTGCCTGTCTGCAAATAAAAGAATTAGCATTCTTTGTCTTTTATCCACTTTGATCAATTTTTAAGGTAAAATAACATTGCTCTTGTAGACAGAGAGACTCTTAAAGAGTAGCTACCCTGCACGCGCTATTGCATAGGTCTCCTGTTTATTAGAATATGAACTAAACCACTCTTGGTTATTGCATAGTTCAGGTAGGGATCTGTAATTGCAGCCCTTAGTAGATAACAACCAAACCTGAGGCTGACAAAGTTTCCAAGGCAACATTCTAATATGACTTTACATTATAACAAGCTGTGCTTAGGCTAACAAATTGTTAAAAGCGGAAACAGGTTCCACCACTTTTGCTAATTTACGTTTCCTATTATACAGTCTAAAAGGAGGGTGCAGAATCAAGTTGCTGAGCTGCTTTGGTGGTTTTCAGCAGTGAGGTTTGATGTGTGGGAGTTTTTTTCCCCACAGTTGTTCTAATTTACACTTTCTGTTTAGGGCTCTAATAAGCCAGGGCAGCAGTTTGACATTAAGCAAAGTTAAGTATGCTAGCTCAATAATTTCAGTTAAGGGTGACAGTATTTAAAAGCAGATTATACTAAACATGAATTAAATGAGGGATAATGGCAAAATAATGTAGGCCAAATTCTGTTCTTTCTTGCCTCTCCTCTGTTTAAGGCAGAAGTTCAGTCAAATTGACTATGACTGTCCTCATATGAATGTCTTCTCAAAAGTCACTTCTTCATCAATGTCTATCTCCATGTACATCTTAATGGGAGAGTGACAGATTAGGTGTACTGTTTCCACTGTATTTCCTCAGTACTTGCTTAAATATCTCCAGCTTATTTTTGCTTTTTTTTGAATTAATGTAGAATAGGTAAAAACACAGCTTGTGAGTTGCTTCTGCACAACTTCTGTGCCTTTCCTACAGTAGGAGACACTTCTTCTTTCCTGTTGGCTTGGATTAGCAGAAACTCCTTCACTCTTGGGGCAAAGAAGGCTCTACCTTATCATTCGACACTGAGCTTCCAGTTCTAACAGTGCACCACGGTAGGAACTTCTCAGAAGGAAAGAGAAGAAATTACATCTACAGAATATGACAAACAAAGCAGAACCTCTAATGCTCTGCGAGCCTAACTGCTGCATTGTCTTCTCTTGTGGTTTTATCTCTAGGTTGGATATGAAGGATGAGAAGCCAAATGACAATACAGGCCTGTGCAGAACATTCCTTATGGCTGACAAGCCATCATCAAAGCCCACCTCTGGGAGCTTGCCAAGAAATGATCCAAACATTGCTGTGTGATTGCATCCACTGCTGCCAGAATCTGCAGCTGAATCAAACTTTTTGTATCTGCTGACAGGCCTAAAAGAATCCATGCTGACACTAGAGCACATCTATTAACCTCTTCCTAGGTCAATTAAACTAGAAGCCTCCGTGTGTTTGTACTGTCTTCCAGCCTTGAAAAACTGATAAGCAAGGTCCAGGAAGGTAACTGATGAACGGATCCAGCACAGAGGTAGGAGATCCTTAACATCCCCTTGATGCCACGAACATCTGTTCATAAATTAGAAACCAGAAACTACTTGGAAATGAGCAAATAAAAGTATATTTAATGGCAGTATTAAAAATATATATACAAATATACATATATAGAAAATTCAGTTTTAATGATAGTAGAGACTATTAAATGTACCATTCAGTTTTCATTACGCTGAATGACACATGCTTTCCAAATTTTAATTACTCTTTCTGTTAGCAATATGATTCTATGGCAAAATTTTGCTCTCTTTGGCACCAGGTTGAGACAAATCTCTTCATGCTATTGTGCCCTTTAGGAATACTGTCAAATTCAATCATTCAGGACTCATGAGTCTTGCACTAACATGAAGAGATTGATTTGAAAACCATGGGACTAAGATCCTTTTTTTTTGTTTTTCATTTTCCATTTCCATTCCTTAACCAGGAAAGCTGAGATTGCCAGCTTTGCTCTCACATGCAAATGAGCACGGCCCTAGAATAATGCTCTTGGATGTGGCAGTGACTGTGTCTGCCAGCATCTTCTGATCAGTTATATCTGAAATATCAAGAATTACTGTGGTGTCAGAAAACACACCACAATATAGCAGTCTCTATGGCCTATTTAAAGGCAGTTAAAAATAGATATAAAAATTACTTCAGGCAAAGATACAGAGGAATTCTTGACCTTTTATAAACTGGATCTCGTTCAAACAATGTATGTTTTAATAAAATCTATCAATATATACCTAATAAGGAACGTAGGCTCTCCTACACAATGGAAAAGTTTAAAAAGGACAAGCTGAGTAAGCTGATGAGTTTGCTGTAGCAGAAAGGGTTTGTGCAAACCTTGACTTATAGACAGAGCACAGCTGTTAATGCTGACAATTTTTACCTGTATGTGCAAAGTTATGATGGTGGTTGAGCCAGTTCTGATACTCATATTGCAAGATGGATACTGGAAAAAATGAAGTAAGTATAGAGAAGAGCTATGGAATGATCTGAAATCAGAGAAAATGCCATGTAATTGAAGAACTAAAAATCTTAAACTACTCACTGAACCAAAGAGACTGAAAGGTGAGTTGATAACAATGTATGCATATATGCACAGGGAAAATATTGAATATAAGGGCCACTTGAACCTACCACAGTTAAATAAGAAGGAGTAATGTCTAGAAGCTGGAATTAAGCAAAATAAAATAGCGGACTGTTCAGTACCTAGTTCAGTACCACTGATAACAAATAATCCTTGGAATAAACAAGGGCTGTGGTTGATTCCTTGGCTCTCAGTGTCTTCGAATTGAGACTCAATGCCTCCCTGAAAAATGCAGGCTAGCCAAATACAGGCTATGCTGTGTTGAAGTCCAGCAGGCTCAGTTCATGGTTAAATAACAGTTGCCTGTAATTTACAGGAGATAAGACAATATACTCCCATAGTTTCTCTTCTTTAGACTTTATAGATAAATTTCTATGATTTATAAACTTTCCAAAACCTCTATAAATAATTCTTTTCCTCCTATCACCCCAAGTTTAGTTTTCCTTTTAATGTATGCCTCATCTGTATTTGACTATCCTGTCCTACTTGCACAGCACTGTGGCTGGAAAAATACCACTGACCGGTTATGGGGAGATGGGCACACACTTCTTGTCCCAGCTCCTGAGAATGCACATCTCTCAAAGAAGTTTCTTAAGTAGTGCCCGTGGCCTTCACCTTTATTTGACCTCTAGGAGAATGCATTTCATCCAGCTCAGCTCTCTCTATAGCTGCTCTTTTTCAAACTTTAGAAGAAAATACACAAAATCAGAGCTTTCCTCAGAAGTAAAAATCCATTTACAGTAATTTAAGTATTCTTATATTTGCTGCAGCTTTAGTGATTACTTACAGCCTAGCAGGAATATTGGGCTTGGCCAAACTGGTACCAGCATAACTGGCAAAACTGGCATCTTATGTGCATTAGCTGTGTGCTTTTCCTTTCTCGGTGTTGTATATTGCCTCTTTGAATGTAGACCTACAGTTTTCTTTGTTATTTGTTATATTTCACCAACACACAAGGTTTTTCTCATGGTTAAATACAAGATTCTGGTCTCCTAATAGATATGTAGATAACACTGTGCTTTTGCTCCACTAGCTGACATAAGGCTGAATCTGGTAACCTCACTTACTGAAAAATTGTGTTGTCATTGGGAATACTCACACATGTAAAATGAGCAGGACTTGGCCCTTTGGTCATATTTTTGTAATAAAAGATAAAATGAGATTTTTAGGAAACTGCAACTTATGACCATAATATTTATGAGGCTGTCAGGACTGCACTGTAAAAATTCATATTATTTAATTCTTCACTCTGACACTAAAGCATCATTTCATTTATATGCAAATAAGAATATACTCTACTGCTGTTTCTTCACTGAAGAAGCTGTTTGAATTATTCAGATTTTATTAATAAAGCTTCATAAATAAGGTTTTTTTCTACTCAATTGGTAGTGGCCATGAGAGAGAATCTATTTATCAGACTTTGTTATTATGAGCTTCATAACAAAATATGAAGATTTATGGAGTACATAATTAGACGTTATGTGATTGTAATGGAAACATTGGGTTATCCAGATGAAATACTCTTTATGCATTTCTCCTTGGCAGAGGCATTGCTGGAAAATGGACTAAACCCATCCTCATTACTAAGTTCCAAGAAGTGCCTATGAAAGAAACAGAGCAATTTAATACCTTTTTTTAATCATACACACTGAAATAATTTTGAGTAAAGAAAAGATGCCTAAGAGAGACTACAAGGAATGCCAGGGAGAAGCAGGTAGGGAAAATGATGTGCCTTCTCTGGGCAGAGTCTGCAAACTGAGTGTTAGCTGCATGTGTGACAGTACAATCTACAGCCTGAACTGCCTGGCCTTTAAATCATCATTTAAGTGACCAGCAATTAATATTCCCTTCAGGTAGGGAATATTCATAGTCAGAGTAATCCTGTGTGAACTCAGTTCTACCTGTACTGTGAAGAAGACTGCCTATGGTGCTGAGCCTCATTGCTGAACCCTGGTTTGGGACAGCCAGGTCTGCAACCTCTTGATGGATTTGGGCAGAACAGGGATGTCCCAATGCTCTGCTTAGACAAAGCATCAGCTGCTTCATGTTTGCAGCAGGTGGGCTTCAGAAAGCCAGGTATTTTCTTCAGCAAAATCAGAGCAAGCCACAGAGATCAAAGTGGCTAAAAGAAGTTAATATAAATTGCTTTATCTGAGTTAGGTCCCTGTATTTTTGTTAAATTAGTAACTTTTTTAAATACTGGCACTGAATTCTCCCCATGGAGTTGAAGTATGAAACAGTCATTAGATGTCCAGTGCTATTGCACAAGAGCACTTGTGTGCCTGTAGGTAACTTAAGACAATGAAAATTTAAGGGAAAAAGTCTGGGTATGAAATACATACTGAACATTTCATAGCAGCCCACAGGGATTTATTACTGTATGCTGTAATCCAAGCACAGTTTTAATCTCACACACAGTACCTCTGAAAATCACCACAGCAAAACTACTGTAAATGAAAGGTAGAGGAGTACATCTAGGCTGGGGGGCTTGTGCAGAGAGGTGAAGATATTTTGCAGGAAAAGTTGCTGGCTTGTATTTTGACATTGCTGATTGGGCATGGACTGAATTTAGTGTTTCTCTGGAAGGAAGATCATGGAGCATGTCTTGTGGAAATCTCTCAACATCTCAATCAAGATGGCTGTTCTTGAACCAGTTTTTTCCTGTGAAATAAGGGTCTGCAAGACACTATGTTGGGCTTCATCCAACTAAGCACTAAAGTATGTACATAACTATAAACATGTGCATAACCCTCTTGAAGGCACTGAACTGGGTTGTGTGCTGCTGTTAGCAGCATGTGCCAGATAGATAGGGTGTGTGTGTGTGAATGGGCTTGCAGCTACTTGAAGGATCCTGGTTTGGATGACAGAATCAGGGAGGCAAAGGATGTTCCGAAAATTCTCAAATTGCTTTAATCACTATGGACCTAATGATGATCAGAGCAAAATTTAATCATGTTACACATGATCGGGTGTTTTGAATTACAAAATTCCTACAAAAGACACCCACTTTTCATGCTAGTTTGTATAACCACACATTTTATTTTCATTAATTTTTATAACATTGAGAAAGACCTGAAAGCATTATGCCTAAAGTACTCATTGCATTAATTTTTGAAGATGAATCAATACTGTAGCACTGTAGCTTTCCTTTCTGGAGTTTAATTTAGAAAAGAAAAAGTTGATACATTAAACTTCTTTTCTGGAGACTCTTTTGTATTCTGCATGTTGAATACAAGCTAAAACTTACAGACAACAGCAGAATGCTGTTATTGCTCTAACAGTACACATATGCTGTCTATTACAATATTATTCAAAATTATTCACAATAAGCAGAGTCAAAGTAGAAAGTAAAACAAGTATAAATATCTGTGACAGCATAACAAATTTTTAAGTCTACAGATATTTGATATGCAAAAAAAAAATCTCTTTGAAAATAGATTTAAACTGTAACCCTTAGGACATTTTATGAAGCTTTATTTACCAAAAAAATAGTCTAAGAAGGAGCAGAAAAAAAATCTTGAAGAGTGATTTTGGTATGTTTAAACTCCCATGAATGAAAACCAAAAAAAAACCCCAAACCCCAGCTTGTATATCATCTAGGAAGTAAAGTTGTAGGCTGTCTGCAATATTCTAGTAAGGCTAGAATTAAAAGTACGGATGAGTTCAGAAAATGTGCATATAGTATTCTTCAATTACATAGTTTCACCTATGGAATTCAGTAAATGCTGAATCTGGAGGCTTGAGTTGTCTCCTGCACATTACATGGTGGGTACAAGTGGAAAGGATAAGTTACTGATCCAAAAATCCATAA